TGGTCAATAATTGCAATCCTGTCTTCTATATCTGAAATTCTGTCTTCACATTGGCTCATTCTGCTGCATAAACTTTCAATGGAGTTTTAATCTCCTGGAAATCTGTTTTATGGATTCCATTTGTTTCCTATGTTGGGTTTCCATCATGTTCCTAAGTTCCTCTATTTTTTTTTTAATCTGTGTCTGCTCTAGATTTATTACTCATCTCTTGCACTATGGACACAATCTCTATTGTTATCTGAGAAATTATTTCTGATGTCATTTTTTCCAGATCCTCTTTTGTTGCCAATTCAGGGAGTCCAGGTGGTTGAGTATCAGATTGTTCCATCTCCTTGCTCTTTGGGGTTGCCTTAGGTCATCTGGAAATCCGGTTATGGGACTTGTTCATGTGTCTTCTCATTTCAACAGATGCAGCCTGTTGTGCCTTTGTTGAGGTGGCTTTTTGCTAACACAGTGGTCTTCAATTCTCATCAAGTCATCCAGAAACCTTTTCTTTACTGCTCACCCTGATGGTATCTGGGTGAGCCTCTGGCTATTGCTTGTGCCCCTATGCAGCTCTTTTCCAGGTGGGCCTTTGTCTGGGCCTGTGGGTCCCAGCTGCTGGGCTCAGGGTGGGGCCCTGGCTAGGACCTGCCCACAACCACACCACTCTTGTTCCTGGGGGCTTCTCCCTAGGATCTAGCAATAGAATTTCAACAGGAGCAAAGCTGGTCATGGTGTAATCCCAGCACTCAAGGAGGCTGAGGCAGGAAAAATGGGAGTTCTAGGTCAGCCTGGGCTATGTAGCAAGAACCTGTCTCAAAGCAAAACAAAAAATAAAATTTAAACATGAGTTTTGGAGCTTCTAACCATAGCAGCTTCCATTACTACAAAACTTATTATTTCAGCTAGAATATGCTATTTTCTGTCTTCCCAGGAAAAATGGGGGAAAAAATTCTGTTCTTTCATTGAGTATTGATGATGTCATCAAGACAATTTATCATGAATATGTTTTACTATTTTTATAGTGATTTTCTTTCTTTTTTCTTCCTTCATTGAAGCAGGCTAGACTTTCTCATTTTTAATCCCAGGAATTGTTGGGCTATTTCTGCAAGGCAAGTGGAAGCAGTTGTTAGTCATTCTACAACCAATAATATTGTTCCACCAAGTATCATTTAATGTTTTCCTTTAGGTTCATGGTGGATATAAAGCATAGAGGTGGTAACAAAAAAATGCAACTGAGTATGGTGACACACATCCATAATCCCAGCACTCTGGGAGCCTGGGGCAAGAAGATCACAAATTTGAGCCCATCCTGGGGGCAATTTAGCAACTTAGTGAGATTCTCTCTGAAAATAGAAAATAAAAAATAAAAAAGGGCTAGAGATTAGCTCAATGCAAAGGCCCTCGGTTCAATACCCAGGGCTGAAATAAACCAAAAAGTGTCTAAGAGTGACAATCGAAAATTTTCTTTCTTGTTCAAAGAGACCTAATTTTAAGAAATCTCATTCCAACTACTCAGGAGGCTAAGGCAGTGAGATTGTGAGTTTGAGGCCAGCCAGGGCAATTTAGAGAGACTTTGTCTCAAATTTAAAAATAAAAAGGCCGGGAATCTATTTCAGTGGCAAAGCATTTGGTTAGCATATGCAAAAGTCTGAATCCAGTCACCAGTACCACAAAAAGAAAAGCAAAGGGAAAACTTTACCATCTCCTTCTATTAAAATTTGTCAATCTACGGTGTAAATAATGCAGGTGAAGTATCTTCTTTTAACTGCTTCCTCTTTGATGAAATTTTTCACTTCTGTGCAATACAGTGACTTGTGGCAGAATTTAATGATTATATGAATCTTTTCCTTTTTGGCTTCAAGAAAGGGACTGCCATTTCACACTGGTCATATTTCCTTGTCCTCTTCTTCAGTGATTGAATGATGGTTAGGTTCACAGTGGTTATTTTGAGCTCCCCATGCAGATTGCAATAATTCACTTGTGCAGGGTTTTAAAGAGGCAGCTGATAAATCATAAAATTCTTCTCTTTCCCCCAGGGATTAACTCGTGAAGCTCAAGAGGGAACAGAGAAGATTACTTTTTGATATCTCTTGGAATTATGAAGCCTCATAAGGTGCTGCTTCTGAGGGGAGGAAAACAAACAAAGCTTAACCTTTCATGGGGAAAAGAGCAGACCCATGAGCAGACCTCAATCTAGGGAAGAAAACATCTTGATTTACAACAGTATATACACCTATATATTTTAAATTTCATAACACACATATCCAGTTGCCTGACATTGAAGGAGTTTTTCTAGGAGTCAATTTACTGCAGCTCCCAGGCCCCAGTAACTTCACTTTGATTCAAGCAGTTCCATGAAAGTATACAAAATGGATTTGACACTGAGTAATCCAGATATTTTAGCCTTCTGCCAAAGAGCTGCTGAAGTGTTTCCACATGAAGCCTGAGTCTCTTGTAATAGTGGTTAATGACTATAAACGCTAACTAGATGTGGCCATGGGTTACTGCTGCTCTGAGATCAAGAAGGAAACCATAATTCATCTGATGTGGTTTTGTGCTGAAGAGCATGTTAGCATTGACAAATGGCAAAGCATTGTGCAAAATCCTGAGTAAGTTGCATGTAAATAGAGAGCACTACTTCCTCTGACACATATTCCTCCTGTACTGTTAAATGCAGAGTTTGGCAGAAACTGAATATTATGACCTAGTATTCAATAAAATAAGTTTGTTTTTGTTAAGAACAGTAAAACGTGGTCATTTTGATCACCTGCATTCAAATTATAGGTATCATAACTCTTTATTCTTCATACTTCCTAATTCATTTGTTCATATGAATATGCACATAACGAATGTGTAGGAAATCTCTACTAGTGTTAACTATTGGGCAAGCAGTTTCCAAGGTATATAGATGAATCAGATTCAGGGTCTTACCTCAAGAATTTGGAGAAAGTTTAATCAAAAGCTAAAGAACATACAAGCCCAAAGTGTAATATTAAAGAGTATGTGGTAAGTAATATAATAGAGCTTCTCCAATAGTTAGGATAAACTCCAGGGAAGTTCATAGAAGAAGCTTGTAGGAAAGGTGGAGATTTTATGAAGAAAAAAGATAGTCCAACTTTGAGAATCAGAGATGATGTCATCAGAGAAGCAGCATGAACAAGCATATGGAGGTGGGCTCCTGCAATGCACTTTGGAGTATGTAAGACATAGCTTGACCACAAAATATATAAAATCTGTATGAATTGGAAGGCTGGCTTGACTCCATAATATGAGGCCCCCACTGATACAAGTTTGTTATCTTTTTAGGCAATGGAGAAATGTTTATAATTGAAAGCTGGAAAGTGACATGGTTAAAGGAATACATTAGGAAGATTAACTTTATTGTGGTGTGTAGGGTGAATTATACTGCTCTCTCTGAGATGAACATGCTTACAGGAGACCCTGAGATAATTACTTGCCAATGTTTGTATTTTCCAACTGAATGCTTTTTTTTACCCTGAAAAATTAGAGTGAACTATACCATTCATAAATTGCAAGGAACATCTACTGAAATTTGCTCAGTAACAGGAAGTAGGTGGCGTAGGGAAGGATGTTGTGAGCAGATACTTGTAACAGTGGTGATCAAGGAGTTAGGGGAAACTCAAAAACAAAAATAGAGTCAAGACTCAGAAGAGTTGGCTCTTGATCCAAAGCTGCTTCAGGGGTCCTAGCAGTTGGATTGGAAGATTTTCAGTGCAGTGCTCTGCTGCTAACAAGACATAGGTTCTCTTAGCTATCAGCTAGTTATCCTCTTCCTGATGAGTTATCAATAATGATTACTCATTATTTCTACTTCTCCATAAATTGGGCTTCTAGTAATTATTCATGGCCATTATCTTACCTGAGTCTAACCTTTCTGCTTTAGCTCTTCTGCTAAGTCCTATGTTTTCTCTAAAGTTCTAAAACAATATTCCTAAGAATGAGAACTTGATTACTCAAGCTGATTAATCATGCCAAGCATTAGGTCATAGCTCAGACTGGACTGGCAACACAGCAGAGATGGCAGACTGTCCAGCAAAATTTGTGTTACACTGCCACAGTAGAATTGCCACTTGCCTTGGTTACTTTTCTCACTGCTGAGACAAAATACCCAACACCCAAAGTTAAAGGAGGAAAGGTTTATTTTATCTCACAGTTTGTAGAGGTTTCAGTTCATAATTGGCTGGCTCCAAGGGTGGCATGGCAGAGGGGCATCACAGAGGAGAAACAGTTCATGGTGGGCAGAAGGCAGGAGGGCAGTAAAGCAGCAAAGTGGTGATGAAGCAGCAGTAGGCCTGCCTTTTTTTCTGTTTCTTTATAACCATCTAGGTTACTTGCCTTTTGGGTGGTGCCACCCACACCAAATGTGGACCTTACCTTCCCATTATCCACTTCCAGAACTATGCCAAACCAATCAGCGGATTACTTTAGTAATCACACACCCTTAATCCCAGCATCATACACCCTAGATCCAGCCACTTCTGAAAAGCCCCACCTCTGACTGCACAAGGCTTTGGAAGGACATCTAGACACAAACCATAACACCACTCAAAACCACCTCTTTTATCTGATGAGGCCATGTAACCATTTCGATGACGTTTGTGTCACTTATAAGTCAAGGCAATTGAAAAGTGGATATGTCAGCCTGGAATGGTGCATACTCTTGCAATTCCAACACTACAGTAGACTGAGGAAGGATTGCAAATTCAATCCCAGCTTGGGCAATGTAGAGACTTAGTGAGACCCTTTTTCAAAATAAAAAAGGGCTGGGGATGTAGCTTAGTGTGAAGGCACTGGGGATTAAAAAAAAAAAAAAGAAATAATGTAAGAGTTAATGTTAAAGAAGTATTTCTTGAGTTCCATGTCCCTCTATTTTCAGTCATGGATACCAGTCACATTTGAAAGATCCTTGCTTTGAACTTCCATAACCCCAGCTCTATAGCTTTCATTTAATCAAAAAGATATTAGCAGATATGACATCTTCCTTTAAAACTTACTGTTTTGCAGAATTATTGGGGGGCATCTGTGTTGTGTGAGCAAAATGCCCAGAATAGAGTAGTGATCACTGTGTTTTCTTCTTTCTTTTGTTTCCTAGAAGCAAGATGAACTTATTAAATGTGACATTTAATAAGTAGCAACTAGTTAATTCACACCTCTACCACCAACACTTAAGGTCCTGGAACTACCAATGGTTGCTAAACAAAGCTTGTTTTCCACACAGCCAATGTGAGAAGGGGCATGTCAGAAGAAAATGTCAAGTTACTCTCAGCTTGCCATGACCAAAAAGACAAGTGAAACTATGACAGTGTCCCTCCACCACACAGTTTACACCCTTTCCTCATCCTCATGCATCTGATCTTATCTCCTGCCCAATGTGACTCTTGGCTCTTTCAGAAGGTAAGTTTTGTTGTCTTGTCCTATACCCCTCTTTCTTTTTTCAACATTTTAATTTTAGTGATTGCACAAGTTTACATTCCCACCAACAATGTAGAAAGGTCTCTTTTTCCCCACAGCCTCCACAGAATTTGTTGTTTTCTGAGTTCATGATGATGGCCATTCTTACTGGAGTAAGATAGAATCTCAGTGTTGTTTTGATTCACATTTCTCTAATGGCCAAAGATGCTGAGCACTTTTTCATGTACTCACTGGCCATTTGTACCTCTCCTTTTGAGAACTGTCTATTCGTTTAAACAATTGTAAAGTGTATAATTCAGTGTTATTAGTTATATTTACAGTTCTGTGCAAGCATCATTATTCATTTCCAGAATTTTCCCCTACTCCAAACAGAAACTCTGTACCCTTTAAACACTAACTTCTCACTTCCTTCCCCCTACACCTGGTAAGTTCTATTCCACTTTCTGTTGCTATGAATTTGCCAATGGCAGGTACCTCATTAAAATGGACTTATAGGCTTATTTAACTTAGATAATGTCCTCAAAATCATCCATGTTGTGGTATGGGCTAGATTTTCTTCTTTTTCATGGCTGAATAATAATTCCTTGTAGGTATGCACTACCTTTTGTTTACCATAGTGTCTTTTCCACAATTATTGTAATGTTTTTGTTTGCTTATGTCCACCGGACTGGGAGCACCTTGATGGCTGATGTCATAGGCTGCATTTCTAAAAAGACCCCTCACAAATGTCCCACTCCTGTGCCTGGGATTTGAGAATGTGATGAGATACCAGTCTGAGGTTATGCTTTGTCATACAGGGAGATTAGCCTGGATCAGCCAGGTGGAGGGCCCACTGTAACCACACACACACCCTTGCAAGCAGCGTACTCTCTGGCTGTGGCCAAAGAGAGTGATTCCAAGCATGAGGAGGATGTCACACACTGATGGAGGGGACCATATGAAAAAGAACCTGAGTGGCCCAAAGGAGCTGACAGTGATCCTGGATACAGATAGCAAAGAGATGGGGACCTCAGTCTGTAACTGCAAGGAACTAAATTCTACTAACAATCTGAGTGAGCTTGGAAGCAGATTTGTCCTCAGATTCTGCACCTATGTTCTCAGCCTGGCTGAAACCTCAATTTTGGCCAAATGAGACTCTGGACATAGATTCCTGCCATACCATGCCAGCTACAACATAGAATTGGGTGTTAGTAAATGAACACCAGTTTAAAATGTTGATTTTGTGATAATTTGTTACTCAGTAACAGAAAACCATTACAGCAGAGAACTTTTTTCATGTCTAATCCCAAACAATGATCCTAGTGCTTGCAACCCACTAGATTCCCAATAAATACTAAGCAAATAATTGATTGAGGGAATTCTTCTCATTTAAGAAAGAACAATGAAAAGAAGAGAAAAAGGACTGAAAATGAAAAAAGGAAAATAGAGAAAAATCAAAGAAAAAAATGCTCAAAAGTAGGCTAGCACATTTTAAAGGAGATCTTGGATGAAAAGTACATGAGGGAAACCTGTCCACAAAATGCCTGGATTGTTTTCCTTTTTCTTTATAAATGAGACTTGTCAATGGTTCTTTTAATTTTTGCTAGATGTTATGATTTTATAAACCAGCTATTTATTTAGTGTTCTGTCAGCATACCCAGTGACTTGAGTGATACGTCTTTATGAAGAACGGTTAAGATTCAAACTTTGAATTCCCATCCTCTGATCTCTTACTCACTGAGATAGTAAAGAATAGCCTGCTGGTAAGAGTCCTTGGGGGCACTTTTACCAGTAGCTAGTGAGTCAAGGGGAACTGGGACATTACGTGTTTGGATTGAAAGAACTTGACAGAAGTAATTGTAAATTATTTTTTGAAATTATATGCCTTGTTCTACTCTAAGAGGGGAACAATGAGTTGATCCCTTGTATGATCACATATCTGGATTTTGAATAATGTAAAGAGATGCATGAGCTTCTGATACCTAAAATGCCACTTTTATAGCTTCTTGTGAAAATAGGATAATTTCCTTGACAGAAAATACCTTCCTCAGCTATGCACTGCAGCCCTTATAATTTCTCTGCTAGAAATTCATTTCTTTAGATTATATATTGGCCTTAACCCTTATGAAATGCAACTACTATATTACCAAGAGTAAAATGTAAATTCATTAACCTTTAAATATTAATAAAATGTATCAGATGATTGTTATCCCTTGCACATGAGCAATGAGATTCTGGATGGGGGCCAGTAAAGAGAAAATAGCATCAAAGTCACCTTTATTTTCTTAGAAATTTCCTGTAGTGTATCCCTGAATGGAAAGCTTGTGGTTGAGTTCTGGTTTGGGTCTCACAACCCAGTTTGCTGCGTGCTCAAAGTTATGTTTACCCATCAGAGTAGGGGAGGTTGCTGTAGAACTTAGTTACGTTTTATATCAGATTAGACACGTACAGGGGTCATGTTCATTAAGATGCTTATTCTTTGAAATGACAGAATGGCAACTTCAATCAGATAAAGAGAAGTAGGACTATCTCCAGGCTTGCAGTGGAAGAGCCTAGAGCTGACTTCAAATAGAGGTGAGGGTTCTTGTGCCAAATACTGTTTTTGGAAATCTTGGCCTCTCTGTCCCCCTCTCTTTCTGCTTCTTGTTTCTACCTTTCTTTCCCTTACCCCAAAACTCCTCTCTTTTTTCATTTCTGAGCTCTGTTTTCCCTGGAAGTCTTTATTCTCTGGAATTTCTTTCCTCTGGTAAGATACACAGTACTGGACAGAGCTCCAGAGTCAGTCTGTGTTCTGTAGGACAGAGGGGATGCAGGACAAATCATGAGGGTGGCCCTGTTCAGCCAAGGTTGGTGGCTTCCCTGTCCCTAAACCCTTCACTCTGGGTAGTGACATTGCTTCCCTGTTTTCTGTAGAGGAGAGAGCTTCTCTTATTTGAAAGGAGAGGAAAATGCTTCATGCAGTTGAATCTATAGCTTGCACATCTGAGTTCAGGGATCTCTTGGGTTGGTGGGATGAATCAAACTTCTTCATTCCTTCAAAGGAGAGGGTCATATTTCTATTTAACATTCATGCTGTATTCTTTGAACATTTGTACAGAAAAGGTTGATGAGGAGAAACAACAGGAGAAGAAAGGAGTGCTCTAATTTTCCTTATTGTTATTCTCTTCTAAGAATCATGGGATCATTGATGATTGCTCTTCAAATTATGAAAGACAATTCTTTTCAAAACCTGAAACACTGCTAATTTTGATGAAGTTGAGAACCAAATTCCAACATGCCTATGAGATAAGAATTAGCCTCTCTAGTCTACAGGCCACCTGCATCAGGCCACAGAACAAATGTGAGTGAAAATAGGACTTAGATCTGAGCTTTATGACTTCAGTGCCTCTTTCTGATACTTGTCATCACCTGCTTTAACAACCTAAGACTCTCTGTGGGGTGCTGTTCCGGGAAGGGGATGCTTCCTATGTGTACTCTTGGCATCAGTTCCCTCAGTTCTTGACTCCTGTTTCTCTTTTCCCAGACATTTTTTTCTCTTCCCTGGAAGGACTAGAGTCATAGGATCACAAGCTATGAGAGCTGTAGAGAATCTTTGAGAAACTCTGTCCTAAATCTCTTACAACACATGTGAGAAAAATGAGGCTGAATTTTCAGGATGCAGCTAGATACTGAGCTGTGGTTGGACCCCAGGACCCCTACCTTCTAATCCTGCATCCTCTCCCTTGCATTATCAGAGCACACTCTGTACAGATGAAGTCCTTTGCCTTTCTCTAAGTTTGGAGAAGAGTATTCTGGAAGCTAGAGGCTTTCTGGAGCATGTAAGTACTGTACTGGCAAAAATAAGGGCAGTGCTGTTCACTGACTGAGCACCTAGGTTTCTAAATACTAGGGTAGGAGCTTTACATATATAATACCTATGATCCATCTGAAAAAAGTGTATGACTACTGTTACATTTACTTTGCTGAAGAAGAAGCTGAGGTCAGAGAGCCAGGCTACTTGGCCAAAGTCATCCAGTAAGTTCAAGCACCACACAGGGTAATTCAAACCACACTCAGCAATGGAGGAGGAGGTTAGTGGAAGAGATTGTGCAGTCTCAACCAGGCAGGAAGAGCTTGGTGGTGGGGAAGAAGTGAGGCAGTGTGTGAGAGTCTCTGGGGCTGCTAGTGTCATCAGTAAAGTCTGCCTATAGTTTGCACTGAGCTGGGGCTCGGGGTTCGGGGTCTAGTCCCAGGAAAAGTGACAGGGACAGGAAACTACAAGGATGGTGAAACAAAGCTAGGACTCTTGTGAGTCATATCTGGAATGAAATGAGGATGGCAGTGCTCTGTGTGCTTGTGCAAGGTACATAGGTGTCCTCTTTGAAGGGCAATGTTTTCTTTTATCAAATGGGAAAAATAGCCATATTTTTCTCATAGGGTTTTGTGAAAATCAAGTGAGGTAATATATGTAAAGATATAAGCAGAACCTGTAGAAATGTAAATTTCAGATGTAATGCTGTAGGTGATTGTCTCCTTAGCCCTGCAACTCCCAGCTGCCTGGCCAAGATGCAGCTGGCACAGATCATTTCATCTACCTGGCTATGAAGAAATTCCAATCCTGCATGATTGGATATTGGGGTGGAAGTCTACTCAACAATTCTCAAAATATTTCATGCCTTCAGTAAATGCACAATAGGAATGATAATACAAATAAAAGG